TTTTTTTTAATTAATTCTGTTAATTATTATTTTCAATAATTATTTTAATGTAAAGAGCTTCCGATAACAGGATATATATATATATAATGGCATTAATTATATTAATCGCTACCCCATATATAAACCTTTATTTTCCGGTTCATAAATTAATTGACTATGTACTATAACGTGAAATAATATTATGATTAATGCCCAAGCATGCCCAATACCGTAATATAAATTGCTGATGAATATTACGGCGTTTTCGATCAATAAACGAGCGCAGTATTAAATTCAAAGTAAATTACGCGTATAAAAACTTTTACGAATCGAAATCAGTATACATTTACATCGCTAATTAATCACTAATACATCATCTAGTTTAAATATAAAAACAATCATTGAATTAAAATATATAAACTGGATGTTATAAGTACTGAAAATTGAACGTGAGTACATACGCTCATATATCGCCGACTATAGGAATTGGAGTTTCTACGTAAATTTGAATACGTTCCTCTCTAAAAATATTCGCATACTGCTGTGGAAAAGAAGTACATTTAGTAAACGATAAAATCGAATTTTCTCTAAATTTCAAAGTTCCGGGGTCACCAAACTTCAGGGGCGAAGTGGCCGGTCTGGAAATGAGAATTTTCCAGATGGCCTGAACCGTACAATACCCTGGTGACTTGATGATTGTATTATACTATACTATTTACTTGAATTATTTAAAAACTTGGTCAAAATTGTTTTTATTATATATTATTAATTTATTATTTATTATTATATTTTTTATATTACATAATAATGTTTTCGATAGACCGTGAAATTATTATACCATTGTTATTAATGTAGGCTATCATTTTGAAAACAAGATATGACTGGTATAAGCAAGCATTGGATGCAAAATAACAAAATATTATAAACAACAAAATGGTGTCTTACATTGATAGAATATTCAACGATAAATCAGTTCCAACGAAAAATGATTCTGACCAAGTTCAGTTAAATTTGTTTTGATAAATTTCAATTCTATATTTTATTAATTTGTAACCACAAATAATATTGTTTATTTTTTTAATGAATTTCATTATAAATTTGAATTTCCAATATTCATAAAAAAAAAAAAAAAAAACCATTAATATAAATATTCGATATTTTAAAATAACTATCCTAAAAATATGAATTTCATTATAAATTTGAATTTCCAATATTCATAAAAAAAAAAAAAAAAAAAAATGTATCCACATGAATTAAAGCTAAAAATACTCGAAATACCATTTAGCTGAAATTACATAGTCAAAAAACAAGAGAATATTTCAAAAATTATATCCAAGTTTTTAGGACTATTTTGAATAGGATTAAAACAATAAATTGAAATCGATTTTAACAGAAACTGTTATTCTGTAAATATTCTGACGTTATTTTTTTGGTTATCCCCTATATCAAGAGAAATATTTATATTGAAGATAAAAAAGACGGACATATTTCGTACGTGAGTGGGCTACTGTTGTAGGCAAGAAGTTAATAGAGGGAAAATTGAATGTATATCAGTATGCAACGATTAACCATTGCTAACGAAAAATCGATTGTGAGCGGAGTTCAGTTGAAAGTGTTACTCTGTCAACAATATGTATGTCATATAATGGTAAAATAGTTAAGTAGGCATTACCTATATATTTTCTTTAATATTATTTGTTTAATATTACTATATTACTATATTAGTACCTATTTCTCGTTTTTCCATTTTTTTCATCATCTTCATAAAAATATGACCTCCTTAAAGTACCACCTCAGTCGGATTTCCTTTCAGAAAAATTGCTATAATTTTAAATCGGAGTGAAATTGCTAGTAGAAAAGATGTTCACAGAAAAATAATAAACATTGAAAACCAATGGATTCCTCGCTTCACTTAAAATCTAAAATATCAAAATAATCTTCTTAATATACCGTCTAGACATAATATGCAATTTGAAACCTTATATTTGGATGCAGTTCAACAAAATAGTGTTTAAAACAAAAATCACCGTACGTCTAACGCTATTATTTTTCCCAAATTAATGGCGCATATTCGAATAAATAACGGACGAGTGAGGTACGAAGACATTTGAAGGCGAAATGACCGCCTGTCGTACTAAAAACAGAGTGTTTGATTAGTAATATACGAGAGTTGAATCAAACAGTACACCCCTAATTCTTTAATTATTAATGAGGAATACTTGATACTTGATATTATATAGTTACTAAAATTAATTGGGTTTTTGTTTTTTTAGAGATGACTTGGCATTTGTTTGTATTTAAATGTGAGATCATTCAATGTGCGCCGTGTTCGTCGACGACGATTAAAATATCAGAACGACCAACAATAAAAAATAAACAGTTATAGTTGGCCGACGCGGGTGAACCGAAACGGGTTAGTGTCTGGAAACATCCTTCAACCCTTATTGCTTCATTATTGTTGAACAGGACCTGTTCCTGTGCATTATATACGTAAATACATTCTTACGTTTATTAGTTACGTGTTTTTATCACTTGCACGTCAACAACAATAACAATAATACGATTAAAAAGACGCTCGTATGATGTACATCTCCGATGCGTCAATATAAAAACGATATGTACACAACGCGCGCACACACACACGCACACACATACACACACACACCCACATATATATACGAGTATATAACTCGTAATTGGATAAACAATTGAATCGTATATGATAATATTACTTTTATATGTTATTATTTATTAATAATTCGCTTTTTCGTCCGTACATTTGAATTCGAATTAGCAAACGGGGGTTTTTTTTTTCAATGTATATATTATATACGTATGGGTTTATTCGTACACCATCATCGTTATTTTTTTAGTCTGCGCCCACGAGAGATACTTACCTACCTATATATAATACAAAAATTGGATTCAAACAATCAAAGCGTACGCACACAAAAATAAAAAATAATAAAGTGCACACATTTATTCATATATTATACGTGTATAGGTAGATTTTTTTTTTCTCGACGACCGTACGGGGTCGATCGGTTTTTTATTTTTTCATTATTATTATTATTGTATACACACACATGCACACACATACACGCACACTTTTGCGCCTTATTAAACCGTTCCCCTCTGCGCGCGTTCGTTTAAAACGATCGTGCGGGCTCCCCGACACATATACGTATACAGTATGTGCGTCCTGTATGTACCGCACACACTGTATATTATGTACACACAATACACACATAATTTATATTTAATATGTATATATATATATATATAGAAGGCACTGTCATGGCGTCAGGGGGCGGGATTCTCGGCCGGTCACGGTTCCGCCTATTTTCACTCGTCGGATACGCTTCTCGTCGTATACATACGTACGGCACACACCGTATATTATTATATAACGCTACTGTTTACTCATTAACGGCTATCTCTCTCTCTCTCGACTCGTCTCTCTCGCTCGCTGTCTGTCTGTCTGTCTCGATCGTACTTCGCGCTATTATCGCGTTATCGAGGATAATAATATTATTACGGCGATGTGCTGCTGCGCACAAGGCGAAAACGATTATTCACGCGACGCACACAATTGGTTGCGGGGGGGGGGACGGGAGGGGAGCGGACGCGTATTTACAGACAGCCGTTACCTGTTTATCCGTGTAGAGTTCGGCTCGCCAACGGCAATGCAATCAAGTCGGCTTTCTAGGAGGTTTGAGGAGAGTTTTACAAAACATAACCTACACATTACTTAGTCTGGTCGGCCAAAATCCGCGAAATTATACGCCATGAAAATTACTCGTCCGAATGTGTAAATCCATACTAAAACTTATACTATACTTACCTAGTGCCGAGAAAAACCATCGCGGGATTAAATTACAAATAAAGCAGACGTGAAATGGAAAAACTTAACCTATATCTGTTGGTCCGAACCCGATAATAAGGCTCCAAGAAAATGAGTGTCCAAAGTGTAAACCTAAAATCTAATCGATAAAAAAAACCACGACGGATGCACGTTCGCATGCACTTATACCATTCGGGTTGTCTTATTTCAAAAATAAAAATACGAGACAAAGAAAAAAAAGAAGCATAATTTTATACTGAAAGATCAGAACCCTATAACGGCCATTATATACGATCATTATTCGATGATTAGGGATTTTTGACAAAATGAAAATGTTGTTTTGTAAAGGTTTATAAATCAGATCATTATATTAACATACACTCAAATAATATTTCACTAGCATAGTACAATAGTAACATACTACTCAAATCGTTATAAAATTTAGAATGTTATTTAAATTTAAGGCCGTGAAAATGTGCGAAAACGTGCAAAGACGATATCTGCAGTATATTATATAAGTGTTATTGTTGCAGATTTTCATTTTATTCATCACACATGTAGAAATAAAAATGAAAACACATTGACGAAATGCATCGTTTATTTACTATCTCAAGTTTTTTTTAAAAACGTCACGTTTAGGTGTCTCGAAAAGAGAGCTGAAAAAAGACATTTTCGCTATTTCAGTTTTTTTTATAAGACATTTTTGTAAGGCCAATGCCGCTTCTCTTCTTTCCCGCTAGGTATGATGACAATAATTATAAAAAAAAAATGTCGAAAGGTAATGTAGTTTTACAAAATGTCCATAAAAAAAAAAAATCGAATATTTAAGCTTTAATACCATAACCGAAGTATCGATAAACACCTAAGCCAATTATTATGGACATAAATTTCAAGCAGTTGTTGATAGTGGACACACACACACACACACACACACACACACACAAACTGCCTCCCCCCTCCTAAAATAACGCTCTTAAATTCTCTCATATTATACGGAACGTCTGACAGTACACTGTATACACGGACACACGAAAAAATAATATTTTACCACGTATTTAATTTATGTATATATATTTTTTTTTATGTTTATTTCGTATTTCTTTTACAGTCACGTACAGATATACAATATTATTATATACATTACATTAACAAAAAAAAAAAAAAAAATATACAATTACCGGCATAATTACTGTAATATTATAGAAGTATTTAATAATTTTATTTTACAAAATAATTACAATCGTGCAATTTATAGCAGCTAAGTAGGTATACAATTATATATAAACAAAACGTTAATTTGCACATTTTTTTTTAATACTGCTGTAGCGTTTCGCGGACACACATCTAAAATATATTGTTATTACCGTGATGATTATAATATATGTATTATACTTATATACATGTATACTTATAAAAAGTCATGAGTTATAAACATAATATTTTAATGAAAAAAAAACGACGTGTAATTTATTGTAATGGGCAACGTGCGCGCGCGTGCGGTCTTCGTCTCTCGTAGTAACAAAAACGTACGACGCGGCAAATTTCCAGCGTTCGACCGAACCGATTTTACGCAGTTTATAATCGTTTTCAAATATTTTACAACGTGAATAATTGACCCGTAATCCAAACTTAAACGACGAGAACATAATTATTACAATATTGTCGGCGAGTTTTTTAGTTTTAATTTTTTGCGAGATGCAATTGATGCGTATGGACGTTGCGTCTCGCTTGGAAATCGACGTGTACAAACACAGATGCAGCATAATTTTGTTTTCTTACGGTTAATTTTTTTTTTTTTTTTTTTAATAATAATGTCAATTCGCACTAATAATCAAAACGGTTTGCAACACTGACAGCGCGAAATCGGTCCTGACGGAAAAAGCACGCGCGAGTAACACACTACGCAATAATATAATACTACCTCTTATAATAAACGTGTCTACAGATAAACGATCCCGCGACGTTTGTAGAATACCTAACCTTACCCATAACTCATCACCGCCGTGAAGGTACGCGGATTAAACTTAACCGTTTAATCGGTTAATACCATTTTATACGCATGCGCACGCCGGAATCACGCGCTTAAACAATGGCCCTTTAGCCATTGCAACACGGATAGTATATATACACCGTACCGTTGCAGTTGTCTTCGTTTTTCGCGTACGCGGATTCGTATTATTATTATTATTTTTTATATTTATACGTACAGCCCCACGTAACAATCTATGTACAATCGTATGTTATGTACACATCTGGAATACACTAAAACCGCCCACACGGTTGGAATTTATATTCGAATATATAATATATATGCATGCACATACCATATAGGCCATATGTATGCACACGAATCAAAAGACTAACCTATTTATAATAAGCGGCACATGATTTATAGTCTAAAATTGTTATAATATGTACACTTCGGTTTTTGCCATCGGTGTTTTATATATGTACAATCAGTGGCGGCATGCACGGGCGTCATGCTATAACGTATGAAACGCGACCGAATTGGACGTACGTGCGGCGCTCTATCACCGCGGGATGTACGCGCATTTTTGCGGATACGGCGAAGTACCGGAATTCAGCTAATGGTCCCGGGCTTGGGTTCGCGTTCGAGGATTTTCGCGATTTCATACTGAAAAGGTGCGGGGGAGGGGAAAAAAAAAAAACTTCACGACGCCGCCACTGCCATAATACAGATAACATATACTATTCGACTACATTCTTCTTCGTATATACCTATACGTATTTATTATAGTATTTAACGGGCATAAATACACTATGGAAACATTGGAAACGGTCTATAGTTGCGATGCTCTTAACATTTTACGCAATTCATAATGATATTATATACAGTAGAAAATTCGCAGGTGGTGCGGTGCTTTAAAACTTATAATACGGCATAACGTACAACGACAATAATTATATTCATATCGAATTTCATGTCAATATTAAATATACACAACGTAAACAACGTGAAAATAATAAAACTATCACAGGCGTATGTATGTATATTATTAAAAAATAAAATTGTACACGTATTATAATCTCGTAAGACATCTGACTATGATGATAAACGGCTAATAATAATGGAATTTTTTTTTTTTTTTTCTATAATGTAATATAATATTATTGAGAAATGTTTTCGCGCGACTAAATAGTAACTATACATAAAGATAAATAATATTCTCGATTGGAGAACCTACATGTTATGACGTTAATAACGAAGACAGTGTAGGTACACAGAGATAAAGACGTTTGTAATGTATAACACGTTTAAATACGTAACGCGAAACCGTGTGTAAATACTTATATTATAATAAACTAAAGGTACCTAAAATTGAATTAACTTCGCAAGAGCTCGAAATTACAAAAATACAAATAATATAATATAATATTTGTGTACACGGGGCTTTGGGCACAATGCATTTTCCTAATATTTCACTAAAATATTTTACCACGACTTTTAGTGTGTTATAATAATAATGCGTTTGGTTTAAAATACCGTATTGTATGTGTGTATATGGCTCGTTTGTCCGTAACGCACGATAATATGTAATTATACGTATTTAGTTTCACAGGGGTTTTATACTATCTAAAAGACCAGATCTAAGGGTAGGTCAAGGGATCCACGCCCAGAGGCTCACGGCGAAATTCAATTTATGTGGAATCTCCACGAAGCAAATACTTTCGCTATTTAAATATACCTACACATTTTGATTTTTAATTTTTTTTTTTTTTTTTTTTTTATTTAAACTTATCTATAGTTACCTGTAGGACCCCAAAACCCTAAATTCGATCCCGACTATGCGTAATTTTAAAATGACATATACTATTGTAGAAACGTGTAACGCAAACTATCACACCTCAACTCCATAATCATAACTCCACGATTATTCCGGCACTGTTCGGAATATTCTGTATTGTGTAATAATGAATGTACATATATGTATAAAAAAAAAAAAATAATGCTACAGTATAAAAAATCAAACTCCGAAAGTCTACGCGCTAAGTATAATATTTGCTCGAGTCGGGTAACAAACCGAACGCCGTCGGCCACGGTTCACCACGCACGTCCTTGAATGGATAAATAGGACATGTTTTGCTGCTGGTGGTGATGTTGACCCACCACGTTTTGTCTCGGGTACGGCATCGCGGTGTTGGCGAGCAACTGGTGCTGCGGCGGTTGGTGCTGTTGCTGGTGGTGCCCCACGTTGGGCGATCCGTGATGGTGATGGTGACCGTGGTGGTGCGGATGGACGGGCACGGGCACGTGACCGCCGTGGTGCATGGCCGGACTGTGGCCGTTGCAGTTGTTGCCGCCCGGCGCCGGCTGTTGGCCCGACGTGTCCGAAGCTCCCGAGCACGGCTTACCGTCTTTCACCAAAACGGGTACGGCCACTCGTCTCGGCGAACTCTGGGCCTGCGGACAGACACGAAAACTCGGTAATAAGTCGCCTGTCGGATTTCATACATCATATACGTGTCTAATGGTAATACGATACACGATTATTAAGTACACATATTTTATCGTATTGCCGTTAGAGGGAGGGCGTTTCTGAAACACAAGCGATTCAACTTGTATAGTATGTTCAGGTCCAGCGATACACGTGTATCGCAAATGTTTCGTGTAGATTTAAGAATATTTTTTTTACAAGGAAAATTTTGCCGCTGACCCCCTACCCGTCCCCTTCCCATACGATAGTTACGTGTACGCCATATATTGTAATGCGTTGTCGTGACGTATATTCTTACCTGATTCTGGGCGTTCTGTTCGGCCATAGCTTTTTCTTTCGCTTGACGTTTACACTTGTATCTGTGATTTTGGAACCATATTTTTACCTGCGAAATATAATAGGCACGCGTTTATAGTATGCTCGACGTAACACAATTTGAAAATAAATAATTAGACTGTCGGAATATTGGTACGGTCCATAGAATTTATAACAAAAAAAAAAAAAAAAGGAAACATAAAAAACGCGGAATACTGGTACTCGTCAAAATGTTTATTTCGAGGGGTCCTAAAATATTCACAATGTTTGTATAGTTTTAACAAATCACTATCGTCAACAAGTTACATTTATAAAATAGGTTAAAAACAAAAAAACAATAATATTAGCAATCAAAATTAACAAAATAACAAACAAGTACGTACAAAGTAGCAGGTAGGTAAAATAAATTATTGTTCATTCTATTTATTCATACACTTTACTATATTGTTTAAAAATTGTCCTATTTTAATTTATTTATTTATGTAGCTCTCACATTCGTTGTGCGGTTCGTCTTGGGTAGTATTTTTTTAATTTTTTTTGTGAACTCTTAGGCGTCAAGGCGTATAGTTCATGACACACCAAATAATTATGTTTTCGGTAATTATGTGTGTTTTGGCTGTGCAGTTTTCGGTAAACAGTTGTCTGCGCTGTTCTTTGCTGTTGTTTACTATTCGATTAGAATATCGCCTAAACGTTTTGTTTACTATACAATATTTGACCGATGAATAACCAGTAACCGAAGCCTATAAATATGTAAAACGCAGTTTTTAATTGTTCGCCGATTTCGGCAACCCGGTTGTCGAAAAATGCCTTTGGTTATGTTAAACAATATCGTCAAAAACAATTCGTTCGCTAAATCAGTAAATGCAATCGATTGCTGAAAACCGCGTCACCAGAACACGTCATAATGTTATTCTCTACAAACGCTGCGTCAGACAATTATCCGACACGCGGAAACAAATCCTCGACACGTGTTTCCGGGTTTTCGGTAAGTGACGTATTTTGGTAGTGTAAGGGGGGAATTCACGGTGTCGGGAGTTCAAGCAGGACTCGCTGTGCGGGATCGCTATAATATTATATAGTCGTTGATATTCATATTTTCAACATATCGTGTTGTATAAGTACCAATAAGGTTGTACGAAAGCTGCGGTACGGCGATCAGATGGGAGCGCGGTGATCTCCACTTAAAAATACAAAAAAAAAAAAAACACGCGCACATGTATGCACCTACACCGCTGCCGGTTGTTTGCGGAAATCGGACACTTCTCCCCTCCTTCGCTCGTGCGCAAAATCCATCGAAACGTGCGGTCGCGCTGCCGCAAGGGCATCGGACGTGATACGGATACGACGCGACGGTCCCGTTTTCAGTATTAAATGTTGTCAGCGTTCGCACGAGTAGTACATGTATATTAAAGGGTATCGCGGGAACTTTTTCGGAATCCGATTTTCAGAACGTTTAAGAAACGTGCGACTTTGAAACGTTTGCATTACCGTTATTTTCGAGGGGAACGGAACATTACTCGAACACCGCGCGTCCCGCCGGCACGAAAATGACACTCCGCTACCCGACTTCTCCCACGTCCAGTCCCATCCGTTTGTGGATTTTAATAATGGCATAGGTCGGCGAATCAAAATCTCGTATGGGCGATTTCACCGCTAAAAATGAGGGGCGCGGCATAAAACTAATACCCGAACAAAAATATACCGTCCCAGACAACGGATGTCTTGTCGAGACGTGATCGCGCTGTGCGCCTGTATACAATATTAGGTGGGCGTAATGTAATAATAATCGGCCGAAGTGACGGGGGGGGGGAGGGGGTAAAGGAAACGAAACAAACGGATATACTATGGGTATACCCAGGTATACGATATTATACTGTACGAACGAGCAGCGTTTAAGTCGCGGCGTTATATTATATGCTTATTATATATACCTATATTTTATTATAATACAGTTGTTGAAAGTCAAAAGATGACCAACATTAATATTGACAGTGAATGGGAACGAAGTGGAAATAAAGTTGAAGAGGTGTTTTTAAAAGTGCTCGCGAACCGAGTGCACTCTACGCGGCTTTTGGATAACGGTTTAAAGACTAACTCTTTTGACCGAACGCCGAACGGGATCCGCCGCCGCCGCCGCCGCCGCCGCCGCGGCATACTTGAAGCCGCCACGAGTATCTGTGAATAATTCCTACATAAATTCACTTCACTTTTCAAAAGTACTCGGTTTCTACTCGGCTACTTGTCCATATATACCTATAGTACGTGTACAATATTATATAATAAATATAAGCGTAAACGACACCGCGGCGTCGGTATCATTCACGTGGGTACGTTGCGCTGCAGCTCGCGCGCGCGCGCGCGTGTGTGTATACGTATAGGTTTCCGCCGACAATGGCAATTAAACGATTTTTTTTTCAATTCTCGCCCGCGGGTGGGGGTTTCTTTTTCGTTTTCGTCCCGACGCCTTAAGCCTTTCTTTTTTTTTCTTTTTTTTTCTTCTCACAAAAAAACTCGTATAATATCATAACAACGGCGATTAGTATACCGCGAGTATTACGTTATTTTCACCGGTTTCCACTCGGCGCGCGCGTGCCGTTAAAACAATATAACTGTACACGTATGCGCGCGTAGATTTTAATAACCGCCGCGTGTTTATATTCGCTCGTACGTACGCACGTATTATCGCGTTCGTGGACGACACGCGTACGTGTATACGTAGACATTTGTCGTCGGGGGTTTATTTTTTTTTTCTTTTTTTTTAAATCAAGTGACAATATACGCGCGCGTCTACCGCAGACCGGTTAAACGTCATAATTTACGCGTGTAGGGAAATAGCCAGTTACGCACCAATAAGAGGCGCCCACAACGTTACGGCATAATAGTATGTCGGTCACTTAAAGGCATAGGCGTTCGGGTAAATTGCGAAATAAACTGTATAAACGACGATAAACGGGACGTGAATTTCGCCCGTCGGTTTCCGTTCAATTGAGTGCACGTGTATCGAAATTAACGGCGTAGCGAACGAAGTGAAAAAAATAAAAAATAAAATACGGCCATAATTTTCGGCGCCGGCAATGCGCACGACACACGCAATTGCGGAGCGTTTCGCAAACGATCAGTGCATGTTTATTAGTTCGCAACCCAAGTATATTGAATTTAATAAACGTTTAAACAAATATTATACTCGTTCCAAGGGAATATTATACGATGATATTGTACATACATTCAGTGGGCGCGCTGAGTTTTGCGAGACCCTGGACAATGCTTTATAGTGTAGCTAATGATTTTATACCTGTATAATAATTATCCGTGGGGCCCATTAAAACCAAAACGAGCGCGGGACCTCGGACTTATGTCCCATTTGTCATCCCCTAGCGCCGGCACTGCATAAATTCCGAGAATATTTAACAATATATCGTCGGCTACACGTATAAAACGTCGTCTGTTGATTTTTACAAAATTGTACGGAAGAAGTGAATAATTATGGCAGAAGTTAAACGAAAAAAAAATTCGAATTCTACGACGTTTTGCTGGGAAGCCGACGATATTCGTAATTACGACGCCGCTGACGCGCGTAAGGTCGAATTTGGATTTGAAAAATTTGGGTTTATTGAAAATATTTATAAAAAAAAAATGACTTAATTTAAACGTTTTGAAAATACTTATTTCCTCGTTTAATAAATAAATAAATCGTTTTTCGTGCTCTCCTCTAATAATTATCCCACCGTTGCTTCTTTTTGACCCGATATAATGCAGTTAGACAATTATTACTTTTTTTACTGAATCCAAATACAATTCGACCAATTTAATTTAGATGAAAAGTGCTGTTCTACTATTATCCTCTTCGCGTGTATGTCTATAACTGCAGTTTGTTTGAACTGAAAAATTTAGATAGTTGATGAGAAAGTATAAAAAAAAAAAACATTTAAAACCGTTTTGTTTAGTTAAAACATTAAGATAGCTTTTTGATCCTTCATATAATATTATATTCATAATGCCAATTCAGGGGCGGAGATAGGGAGGTGCATTAGAGGGGGGTATCATACTCAAACTTGAAAACTTAGACTTCTGAGTTGGCTGTTCAACAAGCTTTATTCGACAAAACTAATAAACGATTAGTTAATTTTTTTGATATTTTATTACAATGTTTCGCAACGATAAACCGTTACTAACGAAAAACGATCCAAAGCGAAATTCTTAAAAATACATTTTTACAATTTTCGTCGAAATTTAATCTTAAAACGCTTATAAAAAAAAAATCAACACATTACACGTTCAACTTTTCTTTTTCTTTTCATGTGAAATTTTAAAGCATTTCAGTTTGGCTAAATAATCCTATACAGACTTCACCAATTAAAAAAAAAAAAAACAATTCCAAATGTCTATAAATAACTCAATTATCGTCAGAATGTCTTTAAAATTTGACCACGTCTAGAAAAGGCTAAGGGGCGGTATTACAATTGTCGGTTACGCGTCGATAAGCATTTAACCGTCCGTAAGAAGGAAAAGTCAGCATTACAAACTCCGATCGTTGTGCGTCGGTCGGTTACCGACCAATATTGGCTGGTTATAAAATATGACGGAGCGTTAAAGCATCCGGTTGGTTGTTGAATATTAGTGTTCTGTGTTATTATCTTCATTTTGCTATGATGCTTTCTTATCAAAACAGCGATAAAACATTCGTAATGGCTATCGATCTTTGAAAATATTTTATATTGGCGTGCGAAGTGAATAATTATTTTACACTCTTGGCTATACCTAATACTATTAGTATAATTACTATGGATGTGGGCCATTTAGACATTACGGGTTTTGAAGACAGTATTCCGATACTGACGATGAAAATAAAGTAGAAAATGATGATTTCGTTCAACTTTTATGTGCGTCCATTATTGAAGGCTTGAAGCAACGTCAAACAATAAATAAGTACCAATAAAAACCCAAAACGAACACGAGTCACGTGTTTAATAGTCACGTGAACAAATATTATCAAACAAAACGGTGTGTTACTATAACTAACGCAGACCGAGCATCGTAACATTTATATCGTGATAACGGACCGTTACCGCGCTATCTGAAAAACCAGAGCGTTAACAGACCGTCACGTAATCGGAGCTATAACCGTAAAAGTATTGTGCGAACATTTCTGGTCTTTACGATTACTTTCGACCGAATTACATCTCAAACTTTCCCGTTCCACCGACTTTTTCGTCCAATTATTAAGAAAACTCCGCGGGTTCAACTACTGTCGAAAATGAAATATTACGGAAAAAATACGCGAATACGTATACGACACGTATTTTTACATAATATATAGGCGTACGCGACATTCGGGCCCACCAATGCCCGTCGTTTCCGCCGCCACTGCGCACCGCGCGCGCGTAAACGCGACAATAATAATAATAATAATAATAATAATAATACGGCCGCCTCGCGTATATTTATCGTTATTGTTGCCGGGGGCTGGGGGCCCCGTTTTTACGGCCGCGGGGACCCACTCGACCGGCATTTTGGGCGCGAGGGGTCCGGCGGCCGGGTCCCCGTCGTCGTCGCGCGCACACAATAAAACGGTACGGCGAAATAAATAAATAATAATAATAGAAGAAAAAAAAAAAATAATAATAAACGTATATATAAAAACGGTAGTCGCGGCAGCGATTATATTCGTATAACATTATGCATACACGTATACGCGCGCGCGGGGCTCTTTGCCGCAACATCTGGCGCCCCGGTATACGCCGCGCGTACCAAGCACAATCTGTCGGCCATTGTTCTGCCGCCGCCGTCGCGCGCACCGGGTATATTATTGTGAGCGTACGCGCGCGCGCTAGTGTGTGTGTGCGTGTGTTTGTGTGCGCGCGAGTGTACGTATACCGATCATCTCGAGTGCCGGGTATATACTCTCTCGCTCACCCGCCACTTCAGACATTTTTCGGAGGGCTCACAATGAGAACGCTTTTGTGCCCCCGACAGAAACGCGCGGTAGCCGCAGCAGCGCGCGGCACCGCCGCCGTCATCACCGATTTTCATACATACGCACACGCACACGGGCGCGCGGGCGCGTAGCCCGTTTTCCGGCGTCTGTGCGCATTATTATTATTATTATTATATGCTGGAGCACACCGCCGCCGCGCCGCGCCGTTGCAGCAGTTCCGCAATATATAATATAACGCGTACCGACCGAACGATAAGCGGTACGATAAAAAAAAAAAAAAAAAAAAAAAAAAAAAAATAGCAAAATAAATAACAATAATAATGTATAAAAGCCTCCCCTTACACACACACAACCCCCCCCCCCTCCCGCCCCCGCCCTCGGCGGTCGGATATTCGACGATGGCGGCGGAGCGCTCGCGGTACCGACTCTCCGCGCGTGGGTAAACGTGGGCGGCGGCAGAGAGAAAATCGGCGCGGCCGGCACGCACAGACTACGCGACGGGTATCCGCATTGTGCCGGCGGCGGCGGCGGCGGCGGGTCTGCGGTGGCGGCGGCGACGGCGCGAACGGTGGGACCGACGCACGCGTAACCCCGGAAAATGTTTAAGCCTCATTAACCGCGCGCGCACGCTGCGGACGAACGCTTAAGCCGGGGGATCATCCGTTTCGATGGGCTCATCGCTTGAGCCGCGATAATCTCGCCGCCCGTTGCCGAACTGTACGTAATGATAAACGCCGCGGCGGTACGCGGCACTCGAGTCGACGAGCGAACGGTGTAAATTGTCACCGTTAACAATACGCCGTCGTATTGTAATACCGTCTGACAATACGTGTATGTGTGGGGGGGCGGCCGTATATTGGATACTACAAACGCGTTTTACACGCACGGGGCCTGTAAGAACTGCAAAGTCCGCTTTTTCGACGACGTGTTTCCCCCCTCCCCCCATACACACACACACACCTCTTTACCGCCACCTTCACCACCACCCTCCACCCACTCCCCCCGCCGGCCACTTTATAGTCTGGAAAAACGGCGACGTCCCGTTTTCCGACAAATCCGGGACAAATGCACAATAGATTGTATTACAATAGGAGACACGCAATTTTCACTGATTATTATTGTTAACCGCAGGACGGTAACGGTGTAAAAAATAATCGCAATGTTTTGCCCGTGCAGTGAAGTGAACGCGTCGCCGTCCCTTAAATACTCGGAGGAACACAATACGTTCACACGATATATTTCTGTCTCGGCGCTTATTCGGCTGTGGTTATTCGTATCCTAAGGGAGAGGGGGTAGGACAATTTCGTAGTCCGATTCAGTATATTTTTATCGCGAAAATAACGAATGTGCATACGACCCGAGTAGTTTTCTCCTGTCCAAATATTTTCAAGCCCTCTTAAGAAAACTTTATTTTCAATAAAAGAAATCATAATACAAATAGAATTCAAATAATTTCTTTTTTAAAATTATAACACAATCAAAATCTAAACGTCTTTTTGTAATGCCGATGCCAAATAATACATTTTAAATGTTCTCTTCGGATATTTCAAATTCTCATATAAAAGCTCATATAGTGTGGCCGTAATGCTTGAAATTATTTCACTCAACTTAACCAGTGATTGGCTTTACCACGCCGACTATTCAGTTTGTAAACAACTTTTCCATCCTCAGAAATATTGATCCAATCATCAAATTGTAGAGGTGGTTTCCGGTGAACAATTTTGTTTATTTAGTGCATTGGAAAATCATTGTTTTGATTTTCTTTGCAATTTTTTTAATAATAAGAAAAATTAAAAATTGAGAAAAGACACTGGAAAAACTGTAATATTTACATAATACCGGTATAATCTTCAAAACATAATTCTGTCGATTTTTTAATTATAACCATTTGAAATTTACGAGTTTTTTTAGTTTTTATTCGGTTTGTTGTGGATAGAATTGTTTTAGCACACAGAAAATACTCGAAAATTTAACATAAGGTTTATCATGAGTTGCAGTTATCAGGTAAACAAAAGTTGAGCTTAATGAAGTAATTGTTTTCTTTTATAAGCAGTTAAACTTTTAAAGTTCAAATTTTAATGAAAATATGCGTTTTGATAATCAAAAAAAAATAAATACCAGCTCATGCGTTCCAATTAAAACAAATAGTAGCACCTAAAAGTATAGTTAAATTTCTGAAAAACTAGGTACTAGGGACTCCGTCTTACTTTTTCTTGATCATTGATGATTTAACGTTCAATATATATATTTTTTTTTTTTTGGATTAAAATCACACGATTTAGAACTTCAAGATCGCGAAAGATACATTAAAAAAAAAAAAAATCGTTTTTATGCATGACAAACTATAATATTATTATACAATAAATTTGGGCGAAAATAAAAATACCCGAAACGTTGTAAATAATTGAAATAAAATGTAATTATCGTTACCTGCGTTGGAGTTAAATGGATTACACTAGCCAAATGTTCTCGTTCTGGCGCCGATAAATATTTCTGCTGTTTGAACCTCCGTTCCAATTCATAAACCTGATGAAATTATACAAATATTAAGTATATATCATAATAATGGTATAATGTATAATATTTATTTGTGGCTTAGTACAAGAAAAGCAAATTTAAACAAAATAAATTGTAAATTGGAAGTTGTAAAAAAGTAATTTATTTCCATAAACTTAACGTAAAATTAGAATCACCTATTAAATTTAGAATTATTGTAATATACGTATTATTATTTAATTTTTTTTTCTTCGACATTGGTTTGCCACAGGCTCACAGATATAATATTCCGAGGTTAAAGCGCATATTGTTATTCTAAAAGATGGTATTTAATATTACATAGATTTTATAGAAAGGGAACGCGTAATATTATACGTATACGCATAAGTCGGAGGGGAAGGATATAATATTTGGACAATGTACAAATGGGACGGATGTGTTCGTGTCAAAACGATGCCTTCGTGGATTTGACGTGACGCCTGATTGTGTTTACATTTTTATATATATATACGACATACGAGAAATGTGGATTTTGAGACAGTTTAAGTGCGCTGTAAACACCCATATATATAACGCATATATGAACTTGAATAGTAAATACGGTTTTGGGTTTCAGGATAATATTATATAGAGGTGAACGGCACTTAAATATGGAAAAAAAAAACAGCGATGCGTACGTTTGCGCGTTCAAAATATAGCGTTATTAAAATAACAATAGTGATGTTAAATTGAAATATTCAATTAATTAGTTAATTGTGTTCCGCGTCGAATTTCGGTGTAGCGGCGTTGCAGGGAACATAACATCATGATCTTCGGTCTCAAAGGAGCGGGACGGTTTTCGAAATTTATTTTTATAATTTTCTATTGTTTTCCGCCATTTGTCTCCATGTACGAGTATATATATATATATTTTTTTTTTAATGCAAATGATTTAATTGACCTTTTTACCTGGTGCCAGAGATATAATATGTTTAAAATTAAAATTGAATACAACGTAAAAATGGAAAAATTGTGTTCAAGTCCGTCAAATATCGGTTACCTACTGTATTACACATTTCTATACCTAGTCATTATTCTAGTATCCTCGCGTAAATAACACTACCGAGTATCTGCGTGCTACCTGTTTATAAGTGCATATTATATTATAATTAAAAGAGGCAAGAAACAGCAAATAGTATTATATACCCGCAGCATAATTTTTTATTAAAATGTATACGGATATCGAAACGTATTTAAAATGTCAGTGTAACATAATATAGCTGTATATATTGATACGCACTTGAGCCTGAGTGAACAACACCCTGCGTTTTCGTCTCTGGGTGAGCGGAAACTGTAGAGGCGGCTTGGTATCGCATCCCATATTTGTCATGCCGTTCATCGAGGTGTTCGACGAGCCCATCAATCTGGATACTGCAAAAAAACCACGTAATATATTACTACTGTTATAAATTTGAATTTTTGGCATGGTGGTTGTATACATATATATATATGCATAAGAAGGTCAACGACTTTCGGTGACTAAAAACAAGATGCTCATTGGGAATTCATTACGTTCGTATATACACCTCGGCCGCGGTGTGTGCACTATAAGGGTCTCGAATGTTCCCTGCGACGCCCCTTTCAACCATGATCACCTTGTAAGATGCTCGTTTATTAGCTCATGAATATTTCATAACATCGCTTATGTATATATATAACGTTTATATCGCGTTTATACCCTTTGGCAGATTATTATTTATATTCACACCCGATCAAAATGATTGGCAGCTATAATAGCGTACCTAAATAAATGTGTTAATAATCGTCATGTTACTGGAATAATGATCAAAACCTAACGATTGAAACGGAAAATGGATTTTGTGTGCACATTTTTACATTATGATATTCCTGTTAAACGACGCCGTGTTTAAATATAATACTTTGAATTTTTTTGGCGTTGATTTTAATTTATCAATACTCAATAATTTTCGCCTAATTCTGTCATTTTCAGTGTCTCAATCCGTTACATTTGCACAGTCATTATAATTTTTTGATAATGTAATAAATATTATAATAAGTAACTCTATAAGCAGCTCTAATTAGGTAAGTTTTCTAATTTTATCATTTGTCAATAAACTGGATTTACGAAAATTGTTACTGTATTTCAAAGAACATAATATGATAATTTTTTTTAAGAATAAATTAAGATTTTAGGGAATTTTTCAAAACACGTATTGATCTATGGAAAACAAAATTACGACTGTCATCAATTATCAGCTGATTTGACTCCGGTGACCGTATTTTGAACGAAAAAGTTAACCATTCAATTAAAAACTACAACTATACTCTGAGTACCTATATAATATGTATATTTTACTAAAAACCATATTATAGAAAAAGTAGAAAGTTTTATTTCATAATTTTATTATTACTATTCTATATGCACATAATTTAAACTTTTTTTTTTTGTTTACTTTTAAAAATGTTATTATGTATTATTATTATTTTTTTAAATTAAAGTAAATACTTGATATTATAATAGAGGTACTATAATGATAACAGAGACTATAGAGCATTAAAAGATCTTATGTATTATTATAATCTTAGCATTTTAAACGCGTAAAAATCCGGTCTCATATATGCATATATTATTTAAACTATACAGGTACTTAACTCCGGTATAACTGCACTTTGGAGCAATAATAGTAATATATTATATGAGTGTTTACCTTATATTTCGTTAAATAATATAATATTCGGTAGGTCCCAATTATTGTAATATTTTAACGACAGGACGTAATACGCCACGGACGATGTGTATTTTAATGGCGGTAACTCCCCCTTCCCATCCGCGTCGTACACATGCACACACACACGCACATTGTTCATACCGGTCACAAAGCAAACATTATATTATTATTATTATTATTATTATTATAGGAGCGCCTTGTCAACTACAAATGGATCGTGCGATATATTATATAGGTTCTAAGCTTTTTGTACACATAAAATATTATAATATTACCCGGAGACGATTTTTGACAGGTTTTCACCAAACAGGGGTCGAAGAATCGATATAAAAACAGTATGCACGCTCTATACCTGTATAATATATGTATCCGAAGACACGTGTCGATAAAAATAAAATATGTGGGTACTTGCGTGAGCACTCATTCGCGTGTGTGTTTGTGTGTGTGTGTGTGTGTGTGTGTGTGTGTGTGTGTGTGTGTAGGTGATCATGTACAATATTTTAAAATATTCTATTGTAAGTTCGTGTACACGTGCATATATAATATAAAATGTTTTAGTAGTTATACCTAATTAAATTAAATTATATTAACACATAAATATAAACAAATTAATACGTTATTATTGGGTTTGAAATAGTTGTAGGGAATTATTTTACAAAATCGTATAAAATATTAGTTTTACGATTCTGATCTTAATAAGAAGATTTTTCAATTAATCTTCTGCCCGGTGCACATTTAAGAGGAAGTATGCGGCCGTTCTTATGGACGGATATGACGTTTTAGGTCAATAAGCTGGAATAAAATTCGCACACTTGCTCACTTAATTTTAATTTTAAAAACTTATTTAAATTCTTGGAATTTAATTTAATTAATGTACATTATGATTTTACATTTTTTTTTCTTAAAATAAACTCGCTAAAAGAATAATAAAAAAAAAAAATTGAATTATTACTGTTTCTCATTACCCAATCGAAAAGCAATCATCCGGCAGAAAACTACAACGTTCTGAATCGTTTAATAGCTATTTATTTTATATTTAGAACGATTGAAGAAAATATGATAAATGATAAATTTAAATTAAATTAGGTATGAAGGACAAATATTCAAATAAGTGAAATATTTCATTTTTCCCTAGAAATTAATAAAATTTATTTTAAAAATTGTATATTTCATAAACATTTAAACATCACTTGAAGTAAATAAGTTAGTAGTTTTCAGTATCAATACATATTTATTATATTACCTATATAAGTATAATAGTATATGTTTCGAAATAAACTTAAATAATTAATATAATATGTAGATTATGAACTTTCCCTTCACATAAATTAGCTTACTAGCTGCCACACTTAATAGATGCAAGTCATACCACGTAACATATAAAAATTATTTTAATTTACGAACTTATAGTTTGATAACCATAGCAATAGACAGCATACGATATTATTTCATTTTAGATTCTGTGCGTAGCGAGTAATGTAGTTATTAGTTTTACTGTAATGTTTGTTTTTTTCTGTTTAAAAACAACTTTTCTACTTCTACTTCTTTTTACTTTTCTTTCTTGCCCAATCATCAACATAAGGATAAGTTTCTGGTAAAACTTTTATTTAGTTGGTGAATTAATGAGGGTTTTTTTTCATATTCCTTGTAGTTATCTTAATAATTGGAAAACATCGTCCATATACTAGGAATATTATTTAAGTATGCAATAACGACCGGATTCTGCAGTTTTTGTTTATACATATATATATATATATTTTTTTTTTTTTGGTAATTCCAGATAGAATTAATCATAGAAATCTTCAATTTCCATTGAATACTTATATTAGCCTATGGCTTATACTAGACGTGATACAATTTGCAAAATATTTTTGAAATTTTTGAGCTATTTATTGTCATATGAAATGATTGTCAAATTGTCGGTTTCTCAAAAATGCTCGAAAATTTGATACGAGATCTAATGACAATATAAAAATATCGAAAATCCGTAGAGAAAATTGTTTTTATTATAGTGAGTTCAAATTTCGACGTAAACCGTAAACGTGACGGTTCTATAAAAATTCTCAAAAATAATTCGAGACGAAAGTAAAAGACAATCAATAATTATTATGATTAAAACCATTATTATAAATAAATACAATTATCAATTTAAGTTTTTATCAAAACATGATTAACCGAACTTTGCTCAGAATTGTTTTTCGCGTGCAATAATTTATTATTGCGTACGAATATATATTAAATTACTTTATATATTTTACCTACTCAACTTCCTACCTACAATAGTGGCCTTATCATGAGCAAAATGTACAAAATCGCAATATACTAAGTTTTTATTTCTGTTCGTAAATAGGTAATAGATTATACATTTAAATCGAAATATTTAAAAATTACCATCAAACATAATAGAAATACTAATTATAATCGTAAAACGTGTGCATCATTATATAGGTATTAGCATTGAATATCAAAATATCGAAAAAATAATTTAACATTTAATCGAAGTTATACTTAAGTAATTATAATTATAATATATTTTTAAAATAGTATATTATATTACGCATTATGTAGATTATTTAATTAATTATTTCAAATTTTTGCAAAGGTAACTTAAAATAATTTTCACGGATAAATCAATAAAAATTAAAGTGTACAATTTATTTTAGAAATATATAATATTATACATAAGTTACATTACAATAACTGATCCATACTATAATAAATGAATATACATATACACTATTATGTACTCGAGTATACTTAAGAGAGTGTTTAAATTTATTGTTATTATACGGGTTGTATATACTTGTCAGATTATCGTTCTAAAGTTTCAATGCTTAAAGATATGTTTACTATTGGGATTTATAAGCAATACTTAAACTTTGAAGAACAGTTAAAAAGCTCAAAATATATATAATAAACCTATTTCACGCATAACTATGTTTTTTCTCGTTAACCACTTTCAATTTGTTTGATCGTAATATTTTAACATGGTAACATTGAATTAGATAACCCACAATATCTATACATTATACTCGTACATATGTAATGAACGTAGCCAAGGGTGATCTGGGTGGACCCGGTCCCCTTTAAGTTTAATCTGGCCCAGGGTCGACACCTCCAAGTTTAAAATATAACTATTTTTACTAAGTACCAAAAATGTGCTGGGACTTGTAAATATATTGAAATTAATCTATGGTGGTTACTATTGATTTTTATTTTTACATTCATAGAAAACGTTATCTGAAAAATCATTTTATATTAAACTGTTTAATATTTAAATACCTAATTATAATATGTTATTGTTCAAATTTTAGATTCGGAGCGTAGCGAGAAATGCATTCGTTTTACAATGACGTTTATTTATTGTTCATTTTTTTTTTCTGTGAACCACTTTTCTACCAGAATTCTTGCTCCGATGTATCAAGTGTAGCAAATTTTCTGAATTGAAATCATATTTAGTCGGTACTCTAGGGAGGGCATTTTTTGATTATCCTAGCAGTATTCATAATAATTGAAAAAATCGAGAAATTTTACAAAATATATTATGTTGAATTTTTTTTTTTTATAATTCAATTGAAAATATTTGTGGAGAAATTAAATTTGAACAAAAAAATTATATTTGTCTTTTCTAGACTTGATGAAATTTTTAAAACATTTATTTATTTTTATAATTTCTGAGCTATTTTTAGACATTTTTATTTTGCTAGTTTTTATTTGGTAGGTAGGTACACTGTGTATAAAATTATTTGACTAAACAGAAAAGCATGCAAATTTAAGAGGAAGCTCATTATAAACCGTACTTTTCAAAAAAAAACTTGAGTTTATCATATATATATATATATATTTTTTTTTTATAAGAACTTTAATATCAAATTTTTATGAAAATCATAAATACGGCCTTTTAAAACATGTATAGCCGACCTTCGCTCCGAATCGTTTTTCTTTAGCAATAGTTTATAACTGTTTACAATATATAAACTAGATAACTTTATGCATTCTACCTTACTATAACTTTCCGCCTACAACAGAGGTTCACCCGCGCGTTGAGCGAACTATTATATGTTCGTCTTTTTTTACTTGTATTAGTAATTTTTTAATTAAATTTCACATTGTTTATAAATTACGTTTAATTAAAACATCATTTAAAACTTTAATTTTTAATTAGTATTAAGGTATTAATTATTTTTTCTTTATAGCTCAAAAGTTGATAAATTTAATCATCTTATGTTGTAAATAGATTTATTTTTTACGGCATGTAAAATTTTGTTTGCAAAAAAAACGTTTTTTTTTTTCTCTTCCTGCAATAATTTAATATTGTTTATTTGAATTTAACTAATACGCATCCACTAATTGTTTCGAAAACTTATGTGGGTACATTGATATATATCCTATACTGCCGTTTTAAGTTCGGAACAAATAAAATGCTATATTATAAAAAAATATTCTCAAGCAACAAATTCTCACGTTATGTTTAGGCCGCGATTCCAATACTATACGCTATACGCTGCACATAAACCTAAGTACGAGAAACTAAAACATAATAATAATAAAAAAAAAAGTAGGTACAACTACCTATATTATATCTAACGAGTTCCATTCGATGTTTTATGTATAAAAATAATAATAATAAATAAAAAACATGGTCGGGTTTGACAGACCTTGACGAACACAATTTATTTTAATGGCCGCCCCTCCGTGTGTATATGTATATATATATATATATATATATATATATATATATATATAATAATAATAATAATATTATTATGGCCCACATCAATAATTCCGCATTTCCTTTTTCAACGGCTCGGCAACGTGGCGTATGATATTAAAATATATTGTATACATCACAAAAGAGGGACAACGCGTTAACAACCGTTCGGGTATATTGAAAACCTATAATAATGTATACGATATTATATACGATAAGCGCGTATAAAAAACCGTATCGCATAAGACGGCCGTATAAAAATAAGGATATCCGGTCGGGTATTGGGCATTTTATCCGCGATTGACTCATCCGACACCTTTTTCTTTTTTTTTCCATATTATTATTATTATATTATATCGAGTGGGCGTTTCGTATTATGTATATATATGGTACGTATACGCGCATTGCCACCGATTTTCGAATGAATGAAAATTATATCTGGATAACAAATCGGAAGAAACGCCATTATATATATATACATATATATATAAATGTGTGTGTGGTGAACGTCGAAAGGTTCCTTTAAAAACGGGCATTATTATCATTGTTGTAGAGAAGCTACCTGTCCCGATGCAGTGATCTTTTAACATAATAATAATATCCTGCGTCACCGCGCATCGTGGGTGTCCCCCGTCCGAAAGACCGAGAGAGCGGAAAAAAAAAAAAAAAACCCCGGTAGAAAAGATAATATTTTGATAGCTTGATTGCTATCCGACGGCTGTGGGCCGACTAGGGAGAGAGGGTTCGTCGTTTGTACCGATTGAATAATAATAAACCAATAACAAACGCATTGTCAGGGGCATCTCGGTCGCGGCCGTCGTCGTCGTCGGAAAACGTCGACGTATATTTTATTTTATTTTTTTTTTTTTTTTTTTTTACCTGTTTGTCAAAACCAAAACCGCGTCAATGTTTTTCTAAGTTTTCGAAGCAACGAAAATTTTAATGAGTCTTTTTCTGTATGTATATACCTGCCCGCCGTACTCTCGCCCGCCGTTCTATAATACGATGCCTCTCTCTTTCTCCTCCCGAATGGAATTCGTTTCGGTCGCCGTATTTGTATTTGCCAAACATCGCGGTAGCTATATATTATATTATTATTATTATTATTATTATTATTATTATTATTATGTACGCGCATTGAAGCCCGGGCCTTGGAAATATTTCTTAAACAAACACCGCAGCACAAGCTTTATACAGGGTGACAAATATTATTTTAATGTCGGACGGAATAAACGAGATGTACAATAACGTCCGTATATCGTACTTATATATCGGTATATAGGTAGGCATATAGGTATACAGCCCATTCATAATAAAATAGTATAAATAATGGACATTGCAGCAGGAACAAACATCACACATACACGAAAAATATGCTTGGTAACGTCCAACAGACTTGGTATATATTATAGTATTTTGACTATATACACGTACAGAACTTATTATTGCTCGTATATATGATATGATATGGAGGTCATCATCATAGCGTATTATTTCAGAAGACGTTTGATTTAGCCTCGGTATATGCGTAGGTATTATATATTTAATATTACGGAATAAAATATTCTATCGCGTCTTACACGATAAAATAATATCATTATAAAGCACCCAACGCGATTAAAATAGAAGACGATTATTATCGATTATTATTATCAAAAATAATTCATTATATTCTATGAAAACAATAATAAAAACACACGCGGTATAATTGATTTAGTTAAATTTACGTTTTATATCATATACAAACAGTTTTTCGTTTTATCTAGATAAATGACATATAAGTTATCTGAGATAAACAATTGATTCGTATGTCTAGAAATCTAAATGAATCTTTTTAAATCATAATTCATACATTTATTATAAATAATAGGTGTACTGTTCAATTAATGTTAATCAGAGTATGATGATTTAATAAATAAATTATTAAGTTACGTCAACCTCACAACCAAAAAATTATTTAATAAGTATTAAATCTGATACACTTTTGTAATTTTAACATTTGTTTTATAAATTGATAATGAACAAATCTATCTTTAATTAAAAAATCTCTGATTATTAATCTTCGTCTAGATATTTAATTTCATTGTATTGTTTGAGTTGTTATGTATCTATATATTATCCCTTATCTGTATCTAGATATTTTAAAATGTATCTTTATACAACACATTAACACTATCTACTGAGATTGAAATATATTTATATTATAATAGATGTAGCTACAATATAACAATAAATTATGTCGTCGTAAAAACGTGATAAATTAATAAATGTGAACACCCAACAAGGTATAATTTTAAATCTGAAAGTGAATTAGGCAACAACGGGAAATCGGATATAATAATTATAACAAACATGTATTAGGGGACTGCTGTAGGAAAATGTTAATTTGTTTGTTGTGAACAATTTTTTATTTTTTATTACAATGTTTCTTTATTATTCGATTGTATAATATAAAATAAACAGTTTCTGTTTTAGATTTCTATATAAAAAAAACTTTATTAAATAAAAATAGAAATTTGATAAATTCAACAAACATTTTTTAATAATAAAAGTATAGATTTACTCTCAAATATAAGAAAGAAAAAACTCATTTTAACCACGTAAGTGATTAAATTTTTAATTGGAAATGAAAGATAATGTTTATTCAAAATGTTTAAAATAAAGACGTGATACCTACCCGCATGTTCTGTCTCCGTCTTACAAATTTACGATATAGTAAATTTACGTTCAATAGGCACAACTGTGTGTTGAGTTTTAATATTATAGTGAATTGATCGATTATCCAACTTGAGAATAAAAACATTATCCGTACAATGCACCTGGCGCTATTTTTTTCAATATTTAAATTTTCAAGCGAGATATAAGCATTATTATTAAATTGTAATATTTCACATAGCCATCTCTCTTAAAAATGTATGTATCGAAAAAACCATGAACGTTGCACGGATAATGTTCTAATATTTAAGTTTAATAATAGGTTCATATTGAACGTAAATTTGCAATGTTGCACATTTGTAAAACTGGACACAAAACATGTAGATATCACGCCAAGCTTGAGGTTTTCTTTTCAAACATTTTTCTTTAAACACCTTTTTTATCTCTCGCACTCCGCTCGTCGAATCTATACAAAAATATTTCATTATGGATATCGGTTTAGCGTAACTCGTTTTAACCGTAAATTGCTCGGGGATTTTAAATGTAAATGTAACACGTTTGAAAAGTTTATTATTTTGTATGTATATAATATTTTTTTTTACTACCATAGTACCGCCCACATAAAAAGTTCTGCGGGACCATCAATCGCGGCCGATGGGGCTGTTCTTATATATCTTTGAAAAAAAAAAAACATGAAAAAATAAAGGGATAATGACATTATAACGACTGTTGTAATAACCGGTTAGAGATAGTGTGTATATCCCGCGGCAAACGTTTGGTAGAAAAGGGGGTTCGGCTCCGATAAACGGCTCCCGTCTAATCCAATATGACACCCTGAATGCACACCCTCCGTGCGTATTTTACGGTCGCCTGGGTACGTTTGTGTGAAAAAAAACGTAAACATCCTCCGATTAACGATAATAATATTATATTATCATTGCAATAAGTCTAATTTAAAATCGAAACGTACATATATTTTTTTAAACGATTTTTTTTTTTGAAACGATAAAAATTTTGTACTATATGAGTACATGATGAGTTCAACCTATATCAATTATAATGTATATGTTACAACAAATTCTGTAAGATATAATAGATAATTTATTAAATTATTAAGTAATTTTCGATCGAGAAAGAAATTATTGTCATACGTGGATTTATTATATTGTAAATTTTAGTACTAATAAGCTGCACAAATATATTAATAATTATGTTGGTTTTATAAATCTTGCACTGCAATGATATATTCAGAGGGGATGTTATCAGAATGTATGTATGACATTCATCATAATAATAATTATCGAATCTACTTTTATTTTTTATTTTTTTTTTCTTTATATTACTAAACATAATAGAACTTCTGTATCATTTTTATATACTATATTATATAGACGAGAAATTACAACAATTTGTTCAAAAAATTTCGACTGTGCTATCACAGGACTTCTATAAAAATAAACTTTTCAAAAAAACCTTCAAAACCTCCATTCCAACCTACACAGATTGTGTTTTTGTTTTATTCTTAAATAGAACTTTAATCAACCGAAAACATGTGTATAAATTAATTTAATGTTTATTATAATATTGGTAGTGGGTATACATATTGTGTACAACAAATATTCTATCTCGGGCATTATAATAGATAATTATAGTACGTTTTTTTGTGAATAAATTAAAATACTTGACTACTATATTACATTATGTCAACAAAATATTGTCTGAATATTCGTGGTTTTTTTTTTTTTTTTTGAGCAATAAAATAAAAAGCATTATTATTTGAAGATATTTAATAATAGTTGAAATAATTTGACTTGTATCATATATTTCTTTAATTTATCATACTTGTATATTATAAAAAAATGTATCGAGTATCAAATGATGATATTAATAATTTGGGTTATCAATTTATTTCATTGACGTATTTTCATTATTTTCATTTTTATTCAGACGCTTTTGTGGGATATGTTTTAAATTTAATTTTGAAATTATCATGCATACGTTTAATCGACGAATATTAGAAATTATATTTGCAAAATACACCAATCTAACTGATCTAACTGGTCGGTTAAAGTTTAATAAAATATCTCTCCCTTTTGTTTACCTAATATATTTTAATATACCTAATAATAATAACTATAATAATATTAACCTACTTGCAAATCGCGGGTCGTTGGCCGGTGTTCCGTACCACGTGGCCGAATTTCCGTACGACGAGACCATGTCGGGCTGACAGTATTGAGGTGGCGGCGGCGGCGGTGCCGGAAATTGTGGATGCACGTGCCAACTGGCGGCGGCCGGGGCCACTCCGGGCCCGTTATTGTTACCTCCACCGCCGGACATCGCTCCGGGACTTCCGGACGCGCTTCCGCCGGTACTGCCGGCCGTGCTGGACCTGTGATACGGTGACGGCGAGCCGCAGAGCTCGAGCTTGCGGTACTCCTCGATCGGGCTGAGTATGTCGGTGACGGAAAACGGTGTGGTGTGCGCTGCGTGATGGTTGTGATGATGGTGGTGATGGGGTTTGGGGCTCAGAGACATCGCTAGGTCGGCGCTGTTGAGCTCCGGGAGCAGGTCGCCCGAGCTCTCGGAGAACACGGCTGATGCCGCCGACGAAGCGGCCGTCACCGAGAGAGCCACTTTCGCGGCTTGTCCGAAAAATCGTAACCCGGAAATATTGCGTCGAACACGGCGGAAATCGGCGGTCGGTTTACGGGCGAAAAACCGGAATCGGCACTGGCTCACATGGTCGACGTAAACATATTTTTACGGGCGATACGCGCGGCGTGTACCTACGACACGGCCGGTAAAAAAAGAAAAAACAATAATAACATAAAATAAATAAACTCTGAAGCTCTCGTGTGTAGAGCACCACCCGAAACTAGTGTCACTCGAAACTGGACTACTCGACGTCGACGAGAGGACTCGAGGGCCGCACTCGAGTGGCGGAGCCCCTCGGCCCCGCAACCCGCCCAGGACGTGGGACGGATCCGCGCGGAGGCGTGGCCAACGACGACCAATAGCGCTAGTACCTGTGTCGACAATGCGAAAGGTTGCGAAAAAAAAAAAGAAGAAAAGTTTTATATACAGTGCGTGTAAATGTAAGGGTAAAAATTGTAGATAACAATCGACTGCAGTATATTATTAGGGTGGGGGGACCGTGTATTATAGATAATAATAATAATAAAAAAAATAACAGTTACCGGGTGTAACTACGAAACTAGCGATATTTCCGGCCGTGGTATGTTTTTCGTATTATTTATAATATTATAATACAAACACACACACACACACACACACACACATACACACACACACACACTCAAATACTGCTGTACACACTTAAATATTATTATAAACACACGCGCAAACTGATACCTGTACAGGTAGGTACCTATAATAATATACTGCCTACATATAATATAATATTACATGTGATTATAAAATAAATACTCGAACTGCGGTGCATCGCAGGACTGGTTTTGATACGGTACTCGGGTCGACGGGAAAAGTATAGAATTTTAGAGGAGTTGGGGGTACTCTCGTGTGGAGCTAGAAGCATCATCATCGTTTCGAAGTAGCGTAATCAATTACACGCAAAACGAGTGCTGGGCGAGAGGCACTTGTCCCCGGCGGCAGGAAAGACAACATCAGGCGCGCGGTTCGACTCGGCCGAGTGTATCCGCGCGCTTTGTATAACCTATGCTTCAAAGGTGCTCGTCTCCAATAAATAATCTAAAAATTGGTTAACCGAAAGCCGCGTCAATTCAATCGTAGCATTATGTATAGAATATATACGAGGTGTACGATGGAGTTTTTTTTTTATTATTATTATTATACACATACGTACGCGTGAGATGAAAGTTTCGATTTACATCCAACTCGTGGTTTTCGCAGCGATAGAATGCGGGATGAAAGAAAGAGAGAGAGAGAGAGAGAGAGAGAGAGAGAGAGAGAGAGAGAACTCTATATTCGAGAGCGCTTGATAACTTCAAAGCAAACTTCACAGCGACTACAACGTAATAATTTGATTTACCTATTCATGCCTTATACTAAAGGTATATAATATATAAAATATAAATGCATAAGACATTTTTACTGACTTTAAATCGGCTTAAAATTGTATAATAAAGGTGTATATAATTATGATGCTACCTACATTGTAGCCGTTGTAATGAAATCGTCATCATTTTTTTGGGCACACATAGCATTAACTTTAATTTATAATATTGTTTATTATTTTAACAATAGTATCTGCGATTCTCTAATAATAATAATAAAACCGATTAAATAATATAAGTATTTTTTTAATGAACAATTTTTAAATGCTGAGCCAAGCGAAGAATGTATTGGTTTTACTATGATGTCTTTTTTTTGTTTCTGTCGGTAAACTATTTTATATCAGAAATCGTCCTCCAATTAAAAATCTCTGGGAACTTTCTTATATCATTAATCTTGACCTAATTGATGTATAAAAAAGGTATTTTTTTTGATTTCCTTTGTAGTTTTTATAATGAATGAGAAAAACTGACATTTGTTTGTATAATATTTGTTGATTTCTGGGTTACTTTATCTAAAAAGGTAAAACATGACTAATAATATTCCACTTATAGAATCATTTTTCGTTATCAATTATGTATCATTGTATAGATGTAAGTTAAATTACTCTATATATCCTCCCTTTTAACTTCCTTCCAAAAACAGTGTCACGCCCAGGATTGGATTCAGGAATAAAATGAGTGGGCTACAAAAAAAATGCATGAGTGTTTAAAATATAATATAATTATAAATTATAATTTAATACAAGTTATTTTAAAAATACCTACATATGTTAAGGGGTGCTTTGATATCCATAACCCCCTCCTTGCATCCACCCTTAGCACACTGCTAGGCACACTTATCAACATTTTCATGAAAGTATAAGACATATAATATATAGTTACAATAATATTTATAATTTTACATTAAAAGTTATTTATTAAAATTTGAATCACAATATCACAAAATACTAATTTCTAAAAATGTATAACCTTTAAATAAAATTAATAATATGTGAAAAATTAATGAACTTATTTATTTTCCCAAAAAGTGTTTTCCGACACAAAATAAAAACCCATTATTATCGTTCAATAAGTATAATACAATAAAATGTTTGAAAATATTTTAAACAGCTAACACGCATAATATATTATAATATAAAATTTCAACCTATAACCTATGTACAGCTCTCCTCGCGTGAGTTAGTCAAATAATTAAATGGGCCATTATTACCTAATTATATATGTTGGGGATCAGATAAATATATATATATATATATATTATATTATACTATTAATTATCTATTACCTACATGGCTTATAGTTATATCGTTTTAAAACTGAAATTTATAAAATCAATGATAAATAATTGCATTTTATTCATATAAAAAAATAACTATAATATGATATAAAATGTTAGCGCAGAAATGAAAAAAAAAAAAAATTAAAAATATAGCACTTGGAGTATTTCTTATTTTCCAATTAGTATTATAATATTCTCGCAAATGTATAATGTATATATTATGGTAGTCAGCTGTTTGAAAATATACTTCACAAAAATCAATAACAGTATTACTCACAATAATGTAAAAATTACTTGGTTTCATCGTTTCAAAATAAAAGATTTGTTTTAAATTTTAAATTATTTACTAATATACTAGATTCATAATTTTAAATTTTATTTATGATTTTATTTTCTACACAATTATATAGTTGGCAAATAATCTTCGATTGTTGATGTCGTTGATTGTAATAATTCTAAAAAAAACAATAATGCATATACAAAATTAAAATTAAATGTAATTAGTTATAAAAAAATAAATAGGTAATCTATGTAAATCTGTAAATTCGTATAAAGTTTTAAGCGTTAATCGTGTGTTAATATCGTATTTAAAATTACCTAAATTAATTATAATTTAAAAATGAATTAACTATATTATGTTAACAAATAAACTTTATGATGTAGTATTAAATTTATTGGGTTCTATCATTGGATAGCAACCTCTCTCATGTCACTCAAATGAAAAACAAAAAAATCAATTGTTTATCTCATTTACTTATTGTGCTAAGTTATATGTATAGATATTCAATAAAAAACAAAAGGATTACATTTTAAATATAAGGATATCTTATGGAGGAGCGGTGTGAACAAAATTAAATGTTTTATATGATAATATTATACAACATTTTCATTTTTGGATACTATAATATTATAAACAGAAAAACATACTTTTATATTTTAATTTAAAATTGTGTTTTATACTTAAGCCTAATTTCTAAAATGATTTAATACATCTTAATTATTATTGTTCATATTTAATATCAATCACGTAATTTAGAATACCTATACTTCAAATTTAACACAAAAATTAAAACATTTGGTTTATTTTCAATTTTTTTCTTTTTTACCATTACGAAAAAACTGAAAAATAAACATAGTTCACTTTATATTAATGTAATTTGTGTAATTTTTGCTAAAATTATAAATCATAAACATCGAAAATTCAAAAAATAAAACGGTGATTTTCTTTTTATAACAACCTAATAATAGATATTAATCAAAATATACTCAAGTATGAAATTTCAAGTGCCTAAAAAAAAAAAACGTTAAAATCTGTAGGTAAGTCAATTTTATATATATATATTCAATTTTATTCACCGATAAATGATTTCTATTCAAAACCATAGTTTTCAAAGCCGATATTTTAGGGCGAGGCTTTGAGAATAACGAGTATATACGTACATATGAGCTCATTGTTTTGAGTGGCGAGCATGTAAATTTTTAGAAAAACTCCGTTACATCATCACCCATGTATGGGGAGCTATATAGGAACGTTGTTTTTAAGAGTACTCGAAAATACCCCCCATTGAATATACCGTATTTTCTTCACCGGACGTGTAATGATTATTGTTAGAACTGCTTAACGATTGTAATAAAAAAAAAAAAAAATACCTGGTGCAATATCACTAATCGACGAACAGAATGCGCATTGTGGTGACATATATAGAAATGGACTTTCGAGTGGCACTGTTATGTTATTATTTTTGCAAGGGGGTTCGTTCTCAATAAGCCTATTCAACCGTAGTTGGAGTTAAAACTGCCAAACCTATATGAAATTAAAAAAAAAACTCTGCTGGATTACTAGTAGTCTAAAATATTGTTACTTTACTTATATACGCATATTTTATGTAAAATAATTATTGTACACACGGATTTGATGTAATTAAGTGTTATAATATCTATGGTATTTAATAAAATATCTAGTTTAAAGATTTTTTTTTTGTAAAATTAGATATCTGTATATATGTTTTTATTGTATTTTTAAAAAGTTATATTTTATTTATTAACCTTATATTTTTAAAATTGTGTTTTTTTTTTATTTAAAAAAATATAAATATTTATTTATAAATTTTGTTTTTAACCGGCACTATTCAAACAATAATTGAAAATTGAAAAATGTAAACAGAGTATAAATTTGAATGTTGTATATATACATATATATATATATATATATATATATTGTATATAGGCTAAAAATATATCAAAAAAACTCGTATACTTTTTTTATAATAGCGTACCCAGGTGACGAATGAAGCTTCAGACCTCCCTATCATTAAACTTGTTAAAATTCGAAAAATAATGTTAACTATTTGGCTTAAAAACATATTAGATTTAAAAAAAAAAATATTTATTAAAAATGTGCAATAAACATGTGCAAATAACAGTCTTGCGAAGTATATTTTTTTTGTTATTGTTTGTATTATAGTATCGAATTCTTATAGATTTTGACGCATTTAATTCAGATCTGAATTTGTTTGTTATTATCA